TATATATATATATATATATATATATATATATATATATATAGACACACACACGACAACCCATTAAATGCTTGTATTTTAGGTCTTGCGAGGCAATTAAATGCTTGTCATAATCTAACCTTAACTTCTTTTTCACATATATTTTCATGTGTGTTTTAGATACCTAGTTTACTTCATGACACAAATTTATTGAGCGCGTACGAAAATTTCCAAAAAGGGAATAAGAAATTGTATTGGATTATACCAAATTATTCTTCCTATAATGATAAACAGATGGTAGAAGCTTAAAAGTTTGTCATAGAATGATCAACCATTTGTTTTAGTAATCCATGACCACTAATTCAACATATTTTACAACAACTAAGTTTTATACGTCGTAGATTGATATAGTACTATAGCAGCTTTTAATACCTAAAACTTGAAGGAAGAAAATTAAATGCTTCATGTTTTTTTAAAGGAAAATACAACCCAGAAACAAGATGTGAAGATAATATTGCTTAAATGCTATTTAGTACTAGTGGTGCGTATAACCCCTCTAGGTAGTAGTGGGCCACACTGACTTATTCGTTCATTAGGTTTAAAATGCAACAAGTTGATTTTCAACATTTCGTTATAGTTTTCCAAGAATAATTTTAAATATACTATTTTATTATTAACTGACAATGGCTATTTTTTTCAAGCGGCATTTTTAAGAATGTCCAATTTTAAGGGTATGAGTGGAAAATTATCCACTTATTTGAATTTAGTGCTAACTTGTCTATTATGCCCTTAATGAAAAGTTACATTTTGAAATGGTATTCTCGACATTTGATTTTTTTTATTAATTTGTCACGAATTTTGAGAAGTGGCTTCCATAAAAAACTACATTAAAATAATGTTTATTTACATTTCATATGTCATTCTCGACATTTGAACACCGTTTCATTTGTTTAGAATGACATTTCATTTTGAACATGACATTTCTCTACATTTAAAATATTGTTATCGATATTTCTGAATCAATGAAAAATATAGCATTTATTGTGATTTGACATGTATACTTTTTGAAATAAATATGACAAGTTATGTGTCAAAATTTTATTGACCAATAACAATATTGTAAAAATGTCCATTTTTTAGTCTTAGTGTGGAATTATAAATTGTTAATTATTTTGGTCTAAATTCTTCCAAATTAGACATTTTTACAATGGTGGACATTTTTACAAATGATTAGGTAAAAATGGACATTTAGTCAAATTTCCTCTTTTTTCAATCGTTATAGAACTCAATAATTATCCAGAAAGACAACATTTATGTCAATTGTAAATCATGTTTGGATATTTTGGGGGTCTTTCTTAATGAGGTGGGACTCATGCGGGACCCATCTCATGTGAAGAATTATTCATTATTAAAATATGTAATGCAATTAAACAAGTGGGTCATAACCCATCTTTCATATACTAATTTTAATCATTTTAAGTCTTGTGAGGCAATTAAATTCTTGAGATAATTTAAATTTAAATTTTTTTTTTCATTTATTTATTTTCTTGTGTCTTTTAGATACTCAGTTTATTTTATGGTTGAGATTTATCGTGCACATACAATTATTTTGAGTCACCTTGTACTCAAGTCAAAAAGAAATTCTACTTGATTATACAAAATTAACTTTTCTATAATGTTACAAAAATGATAAGACGTTTAAAAGTTAATCATACAACGATGAACCACTTCTTTTAGTAATTTGTGACCACTAATGTCAATATCTTTTACTACGACTGCCTTTTAAATGTTGTAGATTGGTGTACTATTTTTATTACCTAAAACTGTAAGAAGCATAAATTCTCCGTGTTTGCTTAAAGGAAAATAAGATTCAAAGATAAGATATGGTGATATTTTTGTTGGTCACGAGAATAACACTTTCTAGCACTGATGGCGTTTAGCAGCCGTCTAGATAGTAGTGGTCCATTTTCCACCCCAAACTTATCGTGCTAATATATAGCATATTGGTTCTCGACGTTTAAAATGTAACAAGTTGGTTTTCAACTTTTCATTATAGTTGCACAAGAAAAATTTCAAATATACTATTTTATTATTTAAATGACAGAGGTTATTTTTCTAGTTGTTGGTCGAGTGAATAACGATATCTAGCATTTGTTGTGATTAGCATCCGTCTAGATAGTAGTGGATCAGCCCCAACTAATCGAGCTAATAGCAAGTTGGTACTCAATGTTTAAAATATAGATAATTGATTTTTTTAACTTTTAAATATAGTTGGTCAATAATAATT